GGGAACAAATAAAGTTTTCGCCATGAATCGGTCTTTTCTGGGATGCGGCGCGCATTCTGGCGTTATTGAATGTGGTGTGGCCTGTGCAATGAATTGCGAGGGTAAGCCGATGCTTAAACTATCCTCCTGAACAAGCCTGACACTGATTTACGTCTCCTGATGGTGGAAGGCTTGGCTGTTCTGGGAGGGAGCTGATGGTGTCTAATCGCCGGACCGCATCCGTGGTAAGCATTCCATACTCGCCACTACACCACCGCTGCATTATTACTATTATAATGATGCATAACTGTAATTTAGCGCACACAAAGATCTCCGAGGGCAGCTCCATTCTAATGTGGTTTGGAGGAACTCTACAGTAAAGGGGCACAATCCGGAGGAAGCCTTGGATAACTCGAGCAATATCTTTTCAACAAAAGTACGACCGGGAAGAAGGCTTCTCAACGTGCCAAAATAAAATGGGTCAATTTCTGTGGCGTTTTTGAAAATTAGTCACAAAAATCACAATCCGACCGCTTCTTCTATGTAGTTTTAACGCCGCTCCTAGTGAAGGCACCAGTAATGGGGTACAGCGTCATTATGTACAAATTGACAGGGTCAGTATAAGGCTTCTCCCCCTCTCCTCATCCCTCCGTCCAAAAAATCTTCTTGATCTCGGGACGACATCCATTTTTATATAACCAACCAACCTGTTTGGTGAATTTCGTCAGCTTTACCGCTTTCCCCAGTTTTCCGAAAACATCCCGGTTTTCTACTTGGGAAAAGTGGCGTCCAACGAACGGTTAACAACCCAAAATTTCCTTGCGGCTAGGAAAAACAAAAATTCCCTTTCAAATACAAGTAGGCTCTCCTGTTCCTCCCCCACGATTCAAACGTCCTGATGGAACCATGCTGTCCCTGCAGAAAGCTGTGCTCGAACTGTGCTACCACAAAGAAGGATCGGCGAGTGCTATGTTAGGGAGCCCCCCCCCACCCTCACCCTTTCGCTAACTCCTTCTAGAGAATCGTTCGGCAAATTCAGGAAGCAGATTCGAGTCCAGCGTCCCAACACCTTCACGTCGATATGCATCCCATCTTGAATGGCCATGGCGTCCTA